CTTTCCTGAAATGGCTTAGTTACAGTCGTGCATCCTCTACTAACCTCTTAATTATATGATTCCAGTGGACTCTATCTGGGGCTATCCTTGAAAACTTTCAAGGTTTCAGCACATACAACTGAAAATCATTGAAGCCCAATTCTCTTGCAAGAATAACTACAAGATTAATCAAACAGGTAAACAGGTAATTTGTCAAGATCTTTACACTGGCCAGCCTGGTTAATAATTGATCCTCCCTTCACACAATCACACAATAAAAGTTTTGTTTAACAATAATGACAACAATAATAAAATTATGTCTCTCATCGGTTGATCACACTGCTGAGGAGGCCAAGTTTTACAGCTGCAAAAGCATTTAAGACGCTTCTAAAGCCAATAGCACTCATTCGCAGATCTGACGAGGGCATTTCTCCATTAAAAAATGATGTATGTTTCTGGCACCGGGCTCAGCGGCTGCCATTGAACAGCACACGAATGCCAACAGATGCTCACTGAATAATGGATAAGAGATTCTACTGTTTCCTCTAATCTTACAGTAGCAGTGCTAGCAAATGTTTCCTCTTTGATGTCAGGGTCCATAATCAGAACATGGACAACAAGGGAGAAGGGATATCAAAACATAGGCTCTTGTTCCAACCTCAATTTATATGGCTCCATCATTTCCTTCTTCAGGTGTCAGGTTATGATTGGCAAAGGAAAGAAACCAAAGCAGGGGAACAAGGGAACGAGAGGAGGTAAATGCATGCCTAGGGAAGCTGAGACTGCAAACGTACCAAAAAGGGAAAAAGAACAATTAATCTTAAGTGTGTGAGGAGGAACTACACCCTCAAACAGTCCAAGGAGGATGGAACATGCTAAGTAGCCATGGAATGTGGAAAGTCAATTGGAAAAGAAAAATGGGGAAGGGGTGGGAAGAACAGAGTGGAGTAACCTGGAAGAGGGAATGGCTGGCTGGCTGGCTGGCACTCTGAGCAGGTGCACTCCTGTGAGAAACTAAATCTAAAGTGCAACATTTACTAATATTTGTCATTCAAAGAGCTGAGTGGACCTCATATGTAGAGGCTTATGTTTTTCTGCCTTGTGTACAGGGGACTTTAGAAATTCTTCAGAATCTTGGTGTGTGCAGGATTGAGTATACCATATGGCTGCACGGTGGCTGACAATGCTGTGTGTGTGTGTCTTTGTGTGTTTGTTTCCTCATTAAAATGCATCCAGTGCTTTGCAACCTACCCAGACTGTCTCCCTTGTTTTTTCCCCAACCCAAAAAAGGTTCTCTTGGAGGAGAGTTACCTCATGACATCTTCCCCTGAGCCAATTTCAGATTCTCAGTTTCTCTTTTTTCCAGTCCTGAATTCAGTTCTCCTAATTTTACACAGGAAATTTTGCTTAATATACACATTTTTGCCCATTTCCCATAACATAACACATTTTGTATCTTTTTGCTAAAACATGTATTTTTATGTGCACTTTACCAGCAACGTATATTCACTTTTGTACACATTGCTTAGCTTAAGAACTGGATTGCAAAATTCAGAGAAGCGTGAATTTCAAAAGTTGCCTATGTTTCAATTCAAAGTGTAAATTATGTAAGTTCACCTTTAAATGCAAAATGCATCAAATTTCTCCCCCATCCCTAAGCAGGAAAAGGAGATGCACAGAGGGAAAGCATTTGGGGCAGGGAAATTATAGCCAGAAAAACAATCTTTGAAAAGGGATATGCACTTTCTCCCTTCTGCCACATTTCTGCTCCAAAGAGCAACCTTCTCCATTAAAAAGAAGAAATCAAATGCAGATGGGGCTTCATCCTATACACTTGACTGGAGCATGTTTCACCGATGGACCTGTTCATCTTTCCTTCCAGAAACTTTCCTCTATAGTCCTCCCCTGCTCCCCTTTTCTGGCCAGCAAGTTGGTGGCATGAGCTTTGATAAATGATGTACAGTCATCCATCTTCAAGGCTAGCAGGCAGATGATGAATGGAGTACATTTGGAAAGCAGAGAGAGGAAGTTGGGGGGGCACGTAAAATTGATAGCTTAGAAAAGAAACAAAAATTCTGTATTGGCAACAGCTGTGAGTTTTTTTGTTTTTAAAAAAAGTTTTATAAAGAAAGGATGCAGGAAAAAATATTAGTAGAACCAAAATCAAAATGCTGATAAAGCACAGAACAATGAGACATGGGTTAAACTCTTTTTAAAATTCATTTTTCAGGATGGGACATCAACTAAAGCTGCAATCTTAAGTACAGTGGTACCTCAGGTTAAGTACTAAATTCGTTCTGGAGGTCCGTACTTAACCTGAAACTGTTCTTAACCTGAAGCACCACTTTAGCTAATGGGGCTTCCTGCTGCTGCCGTGGCACTGGAACCCGATTTCTGTTCTTATCCTGAAGCAAAGTTCTTAACCTGAAGCACTATTTCTGGGTTAGCGGAGTGTGTACCCTGAAGCGTATGTAACCTGAAGGTACCACTGTATATTTACTAGGAAACTAAAGCCCCAGGTATGCTGGTGTGTGTATATACATATATGTGTGTGTGAGAGAGATCACCCATCCAGCAGAGGAAAACCAATGCTGGCATAGATGCATGCTGTCAGTGCCCACAGGATCTGCCCAGCATCACCATACCCTCAAAAAGGAAGTGGGGGACAAGTGGGAAGTGGGGAGATTAACCACTTAAACTTGGCACTGACAACACACTGTGGGGGGCGTTGGGAAGATACAGCTGCAGACAATAGCAGCCTTCTTACAGAGGGTTTGCAGCATTCTGGTCCCCTGCAGCAGAGTGTGATGAAGCTTTGTCAAGACCTGCTGTGAGAGAGGGTGTTTGATTTGCCTGTCTCTGCTCTGAGCTGCTGTGCCATTTGGGGGCTGCATCGCCTTCCATGCTTGCAGCAAATCTTACTTTAACGGCTCATCTGTGGTGTTTGTTCCTTGGCCTGTGTGTGAGACTGCCATCACTGGGCACTAGGGACTTTGGGCAGGTCTGTGTCTGTTTAATGTTCTGCTTGGTCTTGCTGTTTGTGTGTGTGTTCTGGCTGTGCCATATATACCTGTTTGTACCTGTTTGCCTGTACATGGGGAGGGTGTTTGTCCATGTTCATTCATGATTGTGTGTGGTGGGGGTGCTGTGCATGCCGAGTGAGCAGTGTGTGCTGATTCTGTGACATCAGTGGTGTTGCTGTGGGTGCTGTATGAATCTTTGTGTTTCCTCCACTGGGCTCAGGTGATTTCTGCTGGCATCAGACCCTCCCAGATGATTCTGAACAGGGTTTGAATGAAGTTTTTAAGTTGGGATGTTGCCAGCAGACATAAATCATGCCTATAGTTTCGATTGTTCTGTCTGTTTCATTTAAGCTAATGGAACTTCCAGGTAACCACATAGAGGATTAGGGTTAACATGGGGATATGAAAAGGTTTCCCCCTTCAGGAAAAAAAACCCCCAAAGAGATATTTTAAAATACATTTTGCTTTAAGTTGTGCTGCCACAAATATATGGCAGTTTAGAAAGTGAACCTGATGGGTTTGAAAAGACTGGATGTGGACCAAGCCTTACATGGCCCCTAGCTAATATTATTGTAATTCAAACCACGATCGATTGCAAGTTAATTTGAAGTTTGTGCACTTAGCTAAACTCTGCCTGCCTGCCTTCTCTTCAGGAGTGACTGGCATGGCACTAAGGGGCTGGTCTTCTGGTAGTACCTTCACTGACATTCACCTCAGTGGTTTTGCAGGATGGGGCCGGGGGCAGTGCATGTTACTCTTGTTCTTTAAAGTTGATTTAAGTCACCTACAAGCAGCCAGCTAGTGCACGGGGCTCCCTGTCACCAAAACATGTGAAAAATTAGGAGGCCATGCTCATTTTGTTAATATGGAAACTCACACTCCATAAACAACTTCACAGCTTGGTTATGGTTGGTTCAATAAAACAAGGGAATAACTAAACCCAACTACATAACCCCAAGTGAGTTTCAAAGTCCAATCAGTTCCATACGAACGAGGGTCACTGAAAGCACACATTCAAGAATGTCTCTTTTGAATGAGCATCTTTACTTCCCACCTGTACTCTTCAATGCTCGGGAGACTCTCATTGCCAATGTTCTTCAAGAGAATCAGTCCAAACATTTGCTGAAGAACAAGGATGACCAGGTGTTCCTGCTGATTAGTTCCTAATGCTCAGTGCTGATGAGTTTATGTTCACTGACTGGGAGCTGATTATTAGTTGTTGATGATGAGAATCCAATGTAAGATTTGGTGGGTTTCCACCTTGTTTTTATGAGTCCCCTTACTTCCAATCTGCTTGTATATCTGAGAGTAAGAAATGTAGCAATAAGACACCAGGCGTCTTCTTTACTGTAAAGTAAAGGGACCCCTGACCATTAGGTCCAGTCGTGGCCGACTCTGGGTTTGCGGCACTCATCTCGCTTTATTGGCCGAGGGAGCCAGCGTACAGCTTCCGGGTCATGTGGCCAGCATGACTAAGCCGCTTCTGGCAAACCAGAGCAGCGCCGGAAACGCCGTTTACCTCCCCGCCCAAGCGGTACTTATTTATCTACTTGCACTCTGACGTGCTTTCGAACTGCTAGGTTGGCAGGAGCAGGGACCAAGCAACGGGAGCTCACCACGTTGCGGGGATTCGAACCGCCGAATCTAGGCAAGTCCTAGGCTCTGCGGTTTAACCCACAGCACCACCCACGTCCCTCTTCATTACTGTAAAAAGGAAACTAGATTTCATTGCTGGGGGATGTGGGTTGTTGTTTTTATTTTGATTATATATTTTGTGGTTTTCTATTTTGATTTTGTTCTGTGAACCGCCCTGAGAGTCTAGGGTGATATATAAATTCCATTATTCTTATTATTGTCAGTGTTGAATACCACCAAAGGACTTCTTAGAATAAGGTGCCACCACCTACATGGACAAAGAAGATGCTTTAAACCAAGTCAGAGCATTGATCCATCTAGCTTAGTATTGTCTAGTACAGGCATCCCCAAACTCGGCCCTCCAGATGTTTTGGGACTTCAACTCCCATCACCCCTAGCTAACAGGACCAGTGGTCAGGGATGGTGGGAATTGTAGTCCCAAAACATCTGGAGGGCCGAGTTTGGGGATGCCTGGTCTAGTACATTTACTGGCTGTGGCTCTCAAGGATTTCAGACAGGGGCTTTCCCAGCCCTAACTGGAGATGTTTGGGATTAAACCTGAGATTTCCTGCATTCAAAGCAGATGCTGTACAACTGAGCTACAGCCCTTCCCTTTTAGGAATTAAATAATAAAGTAAGAAATTTGCACAAACTTGATCTTAAAGATAATAAAAAGAAAGGAAGTGAAACCTCCATTGTCATAAGCAAAAGGTATAATTTATTTACTGGCACTGCTCTGCTCATCTCTCACACCAGCAGAGCAGCTGGTTTCCACTGTAACTTCTGCTTCTTTAACCCAGATTCTTCCAGTTGAGCTAACAGAGACACTCAAAGGTTGTGGGACTTGTTCTGAAGTTACACCAGAGAGCAAATGGCTTACTGTATAATATAACACATGATAACTTTCAGAGTACTTCAAGGCCAGAGGGGACCATTAAAAGTTGTCAACATCTGACCTTGTGCACATAACTGGGTCACACAGAAATCCACCCAGTTAATTCCTGCCTCAAATCAATGATGGGAGATCATGGCCCTCCATTATCATAGCTTTTGCTTGGTTCTGAAGTTGTTGTCATAGTGAGATTTCCATCGGCTAGGGAGCCAAGGCATGAGGATGCGCCAAGAGGACTGAAAATACTCAGTTCTTCAATGAAATTTTCCTGCTAAAGGCAGTCTGCAGCTTCCACCTGGACCTTTTCAGGATGCTGCTCCTCAGATTACTGTACAAAGTGGACATGTGGCCCATCTCACACCAACACTGTCAAACTCTTGATAGACAGCAATTATCTAAGGTGTCAGGCAGTCTTCCAGCTCTGCTGCCTGAGGTCCATGTAGACAGGGGTGTCAAAGACTGGGGCTGGAACTTCTGCACATTAAGCATGGGATTCACTACTGAGCTACAGCCACACATATTTGGAAATCATCTGCTGGACTATACATGGAGTCTGGCACTAGGAAACTCTGCAATCTGAATGAAATGCAAATCAAATGCTGTTGTGTAATAAAGTTGGCATAATGAATGTGCTTTTGTTAAACTCTGAGGAAATAACCAAGAAACAAAGTAGGGAGCTGGTGTACTGACAAGGAATGTGTGAGCATCCTGCTGCTTGTCCCAAACAACAAACTGTGCTCTTCAAGTGATCCATACTCCATGCTCAAAACCACTTTGAGGGATTTTCATGTGTTCAGTACAAGCACTCAGAAAGCATAATTTAATTTAGCCAACACTCTTTTTCCCCTGGCCCCTTCTTCCCCAAGTGGTTGCACACTCAGCAGCAAATGACCTGTATGGAATCACTGCCCGCTGAGGATCATGGGGCTGGTAGTATTTCTGATCATGGGATCTCACCCAGTAGTTCTTTCTGCTTTTTGAAGCTTTTTAAAGACAAGAGTGCACCTCCAATTACACTCAGCTTTCTCTTTCCTCTGTATCATGACACCCAAGAGGACATGATCAATTCTTCCCATGGTTTGCAGTACTTCCACTTCATCGATCAGTTTCTCTCTTTTGTTGAGGACCCTCCCTTTTAGTGAGGACTAAGTCCAAGATAGATGTTCCCTTTGTTGCTTCTTCCACCTTCTGGTAAATGAAACTATCAGTGGGGAAATTTAGGAATTTGTTTGATCTAACATTCTTGGCAGAGTTTGAGTTCCAACAGATATCAGGTTTATTGAAGTCTCCTATGACTACTATATTTCTCCATTTTGAAAGTCTGATAATCTGCTCTAGGAAGGCATTATCTAATTCTTCAGTCTGGCTTGGAGGTGACACAGTAACATCACTGTTGTTTCCCTCTCCTACAATTTTCCTCCATATACTGTCAATCTGCCGTCTGTGCTCCAGGTCATGGATCTTTTCACAAGTGTACACATCCTTTACATATAATGCTACACCTCCTTCCTTCTTGTTTGGTCTATTCCTTTTAAACAGGTTATACCCCTCAATTCATATATTCCAGTCATGAGTCTCACCCCACCAGGTTTCAGTAGTGCCTACCAGGTCATATTTGCCATCCTGTATTAAAAGTTCCCATTCTTCTTGTTTGTTTCCCATACTATGTGCATTAGTATAGAGAAAACTGACACCACAAGCTGCTTCTTGTAGTTTCCTGCCCTTTGGCAAGTTTCTGTACCACCACCTCAGTTTCCTGTGCAACAATAAAGCTATTATCTCCAGTACCATGTGTTCCCCTGTTATCTGTAATATTGTCTCCCTCTCCCTCAGGATTTAGTTTATGGCTCTCCTAATCAGGTTCATGAGACTCTTAGCAAACACATTATTGCCAACTGCTGTGAGATGCAGCATGCAGCCCATCTCTAGTGAGAAATCCTTCCTCCAGTAAGTGGAGACTAAAGTCCAAGAAGCCAAACTTTTCCTGCCTACATATATCTCAGCTTGATATAGCCCAGCATGACCTCTTATATTCCAGTTTGATCACTTAGACCATCTGGAGCATTGCTAGTTGTTACAGGGGGCCAGACTTCAAGTAAAAATCAGGGATTTAGTGCTGTTAGTCCCATGTTGGGAAACGTTCTTCCAGCAGAGATTTCACAGGCATCCTTGCTTTTGACTTTCAGGCATCTCTTGAAAACCATTTTATGGTGAAACACTTTTGTGGCTTTTTTCATTATTATTTTTTAAAAATGATTTCCCAGTCATCTTAACTATTATCTGTATTTAAACAACAACAACAACAACAACAACACTATGTTTCTGTGTTTTGTATTTTAACTGCAAAGCACCCTGATATTTTATGATATACTGGTATAGAAATACTTTAATATATAAAATGAACAGTATAAGGTTTTGAAGAGGGAGACTTCAAAGACTGGAGAGGGAGTGCAAAACCTCTCAGTTTTAAGATTTTCACAAATTGCCAATTATTTATCTGCTATCCCTAAAGATGGGGTTGCAGGGAGGGGAGGGACTTGACTTTTAGAAAGCTTCCTCTCCAAGCTCAGTTCCTCTAGCAACAACTTCTAATTAACTTTTCCAGATGTCTCAGGCAGCAACTGCACTGATAACACCATGCCATCGAACATGCTTAGCAATATTTTTGAGGCCTTATCAAGTGTGTGAAATCCAGACAGCTGAGATAACTTTACAGAAATAGAGCTAGGACCTGCTTTTATTGAAACATAAAACCTTCATTCAAAGTGTTCTAATCCAACCAACAGACATCTTAATGTGCTTGCGAACATTTCCCATCTCTGAATGACAGATATTTTTTTAAACCCTCCTTTTTCATACCTCGTTCTTAGATTTCCCTGCTGAGGCAACCCATCGTAGACAGACAGCACATCAAAATCTTCCTCTAGCGCAAAGGACTGGAATACAAGCTGCACTCTGTTCTGCTCCTTGGCGGTGATTGTCCATGTACAGTTTGCATAATTTGGATAGCCGTACGGGAATCCTGGACTTTGTATTGTCCCGTTTGGACCTCGCAAAACGTAACTGCAGTTCTGGGCTGGGGAGAAGAGGAAAGGAGAAAATATGACAGAAGCTGCATTATTGCTGCAGGATTTTAGCTGGGCAACACAAGAGCCATCACTGAATCATTAGGAGATTATAGCCCAATCATAGTAATGACTAGCTCCCCCATAAACTCAAAGGCCACAAAACAACTAATTGATTTCAATAGATTTGATCTGAACTAGACTATCATGAAGGCAAGTGCTTCTTTCGTTCATGAACATATTGAGCAGGAGATCCTGCTGACAAAAGTCTTGTTGAGGGGTAATTTTCCCCCTCTTCATTCAGCTCCTTGTGCCACCTCTCTCTAATTTGTGGAAATGGAAGGGGCTGAAAAGGGAATCAGCAAGAGTCATCTCTCTCTCCCTCCCAATCCTTCACTGGTAGGGGAACCACATGAGCAGGACCACTGGCAGATGTGAAAAAGAGGCCACACTTTGGGGGGAGTCCAAGGCCAACAGAAGCCCCAGACTCTTAGGTCTCAATTTAAAAAATCAATTGGTTGTTTCTAAAGAAAGTTGGAACACAAAGCATGGAGGGAGTTCTTAACTTCTGCTAACATCCACTGCTGTTGCGAAGCAATCAGAGGAAGGAATGTGGACCACTCCTAAAGATGTAAGTTTCACAAGGAAGTTGTGGACTTGGATTGAATTTGGGAAACTCTGGAGTGAGAGTGCTATAAGATGACAGCAGCCACCATAAATGCCTTTGTTTGTTTCACTGCTTTCTGAACATAGAAACATAAGAGCAGCCTTGCTGGATCAGACAAAGACCTCTACAGTCCAGCATTCTCTTCTCACTGTGGACAACCAGGTGCCTATCGGAAGCTAACAAGCAGAGCATGAGTGTAATAGTACTATCTTGCTCATGAGCCCTATCAATTTTCTCAATAAGCCAATTGGCAAGAGTCTTATCTTTAAACTTTTTTTAAGTCAGCCCATCAGATCCAGAGACCTAATTGAACATTTCTGCTGCCACAGGCTCATTATGCGTTACTCATTGTTACATTGCTCTGGCACCCTATCAGCCAAAGGCATAGCAGAAATAAAGCAATAGCCCGGTAGTAATTTGAAGGTGAGCAAATGTATAATTACATAAACGTACAAAGATTATGAGGAATGAGGCATCCAATAGCCAAATAAAGCTTATGCCATAATATTTATCCCTTTATTAATCTTTAAGTCACAGTTCCTTTTGTTTTGCTAAAACTGCACTACATTCCACTTTACAGGTCTGCTGTAAGGATAAACCGTGTTTATGGAAGACAATCTTACTCGGCTATGAGTGATCGCCAAAGAAAGGATAAGAGACTATAAAACAATATGGTAAATTTAAAACACTCTTAGAAAAAAGAGGATAGTTCAAAGGAGAACTCAAGTGTGCAAAGACTACATGCAGCAGGGGAGCATGAATTGCAACCTGCCTGAACGCCTCACTCATACAAGCTAGTCCCAGCAGGCAGCTACACATTAGATC